ATTTGTTGATCAAGTTCAAATCTTCATTTATAGAGAGCAGATGTGGTCCATTGTGGTCTCCTTAAAAATGAAATTTTCTAGAAGTGTAGGCATGTCTCTTGGGCTGAGTTGGAATATGAAGCCGGATTATGGGATGTGTTTGTAATCACTTCAGGAACCCTTTGCTCATTGCATTTGATAGAGGAGCTTTCTAAGACTGTCCTAGATATGCCAACTTGAAAAGCAGAATCAGGGCTTCTCCAACCCCCAAGCGTTAGTCCCACTATTGATTCGGTGTGGGTGATTTCCATTGCCAGGTCTATTGCTTAGCACTCAGTTTCTTTCAGTTTTTCCAAAACAATATCAGTCCCTTTCCTTGACTGGACTTAAAATTATTCAAGGAAAGGGAACTGGTGTAATTGTTTGGGTCCTCTTCTTTCCTTCCTTCCTTATTTACAGACAGACAGGACAACATTTTGACATATAAAGCCCTAAATGGCTGGGGCCCTGGATACCTGAAGGACCGCCTCCTTCCATATGAACCTACCTGGCAATTAAGATCTAGCTAGGGGGCCCTTTTGAAAGAGCCATCCCTTAAGGAGATAAGAGGGAGGGCTTGTAGACAAAGGGCCTTTTCGGCAGCTGCCCCCGGACTATGGAATGCCCTCCAGCCTGAGATTTGTCTGGCGCCGACACTGATGACATTTCAGCGCCAAGTCAAAACCTTCCTGTTCCAGAAGGCTTTTAATTGAAATAATATCAGCTGTGGGTCCTGATGGCAATTTTTAGAATATATATTTTTAATTGCATTTTAATTATTTTGCCTTTTTATTGTATTTTGAATGTTGTAAGCCGCCCAGAGACCTTTGGGTAGTGTGGGCGGCATATAAATTAAATGAATAAATAAATAAATAAATAAAATTTTAGTTTGTCTGGATCGTTTCCCTTGAGAATGGTCTAATCCTGAAGGACAGCCGCTTACATGTCTGTTTTGTAAAAGTCATTTCAAAAACAGTTCCCAACTAAATCCACAGAATGGCAATTCCAGGCTTTGCAATTTTTTACAGCAATCCACCAGAGTTGATGGCATACATTTTGATTTCTTTCCCCATTGTGAATTCTTGCTGTAATGCTGTTGCTTCCTTCCTTTTGGCAAGTAGCTTCTTATTGTTGATAAGGAGTAAGGGAGTGTGCATTTTAACATTTCTACAAAAAAATGTTGCATTTCTGCTATTGGCACCATCTTGCCTTCCCCTCTAAATTTCTTGTAGGGTTGGTGGCCTTCATAGCTAGCTAGATAGCTCAATGGTTTAGGTATCTGACTGGGGGTTTAATTCCCTGTTGTGCCTCCAGGGAGAAGAGCCAGCCTGTGTGGCCTTGAGCAAGCTGCACAGTCCCAAGGCACGCCCAGAAGGGAATGATAAACCACATCTGAATAATCTGTACTTGGAAAACCCTGAAAAAAGTTGCCATGAATCAGAATTGATTTCAAAGCACATTATTATTACTATTCCATCTTGCTGTAGCAAATTCCACAGTCTTAACTGTGCACTGATGAGAAAACTTACTTTTATTCATTGTGATTCTTCCACCATGCAGCATTTTCTGTACAGTGGTGCCTCGCTTAACGAGCGCACCGTTTAACGACGAATCCGCATTGCGATGTTTTACAAACAGCTGATTCGCGGTTCCAAAATGGCCACTGGGTCAACAAAATGGGCACCCACAGCGTTTTTGCGCCCTGCCCTCGCTTACCGGGCGGCGAAAATGGTGGCTGGATGTAGGATTCCCCGCATAGCGGTGAGTTTTTCCCCAATAGGAACGCATTAAACGGAGTTTAATGTGTTCCTATGGGTTCCCCCCCCTGCATAGCGACGAATCTGGATAGCTACATTAATCCTGCAACGGATTAACGTCGCTATGCGGGGCACCACTGTATTATATCTGGGTTCCTGGAGCTATGACAGAAGAAGAGCTGATAGCACTTTGCATTCCTGAGCCTTGTTTCTCCAAACCAGCAGACTGCCTGAAATGGAAACCCCAAACAGCAACTCGACCGCTATAGGTGGATGTGCTAAATGTTAGGAGGCATGAATGCGTCAGCCATTATCTTCACAGCCCCTGTTTCCATGTGGCTGTGTCTACATTGCATATTAAACACAATCAATGTTGGTTTTGTTTCACTGAGCTGTCTTTAACCTTGGCTACAATCCTACTGTTTTGGATTACAAGAGGTTGGAAACATTGTCTTTTGAGACTGCAATGCTCCAAGTTCCCCAGCCAAGTAACAGTGCAAGTTATCGAAGATGGGATTTGGAGTCTAACAACCCATTGTCTTCTCCTGACCTACAGGTCTAACTCCAACCAGGTGAGACGAAACCATTGTAGCAATTTCTACCAAGAATGATTCTTCCATATTGCAGTTAAGATCTCTAAAAATTGCTGCTTATCAGCACTTTGAAAAAAAAGCTGTTAACTTGGGGGAAAGCAACTTACAATCATTTAGGAGAAATATCCTGTGATTTAGGAATAAATGGATAAGCTATCTGTTAATGGGAAATGAAATTAATGGAAGAATCTTCTAGTTGGCCCTAAAATTTTTAGTCAAAGAACAAATTTATGATGCATTCCGCTATTGAACTGGAAGATACTGAAACATACTTTCATAGCGGGGAGGAAGTCATGTTACTTGTGTAATTGCTTTGTTATCTTTTTGTTGCCACTTTAAAAAATTAGTTTTCCAGTTGTGTTGCTCATGATAACAATTATGAACATCTGCCCAATGTTGTAAGTATTGTAAAACATCTACATGGTTAGACAGTCGTTGGCAGAATGATTAATTCTTGAGCAGGCTTTGAATTTAGTTGCATTCATTTGAGGACATGATATGAAGTGATTGTGGAAACATTCTGTCTGAAAAATAATGAATCTGTATGCATGGGGATTGCAAAATCATGTGTTGTCTAAAAGGTGCATGGATTTTTCCAAAGGCACAAGGGGAAAAAATGGCTGAAACGGCGAATCCCTTGCAGCAGATGTCTGGTGAAAGAAGAACATCTAAATTCAGGGATCTGAAAGATCCATGCTGACGGAGTTGCTGTCTTGTAAACTGCCAGATGTGCAAGGCAATGTTTTGCACTGACCTTGCAGTCTGATGTTTGAACCCCTGGCACAGATTGATGCCCAATCAGTACTTCAGAAGTCTGTTTTTTAAAAAAAACTTCCAAAGGGAGGTCATGTTTTTCTATAGTCCTGGAAGTGAGAACAAAGAATTTATAGCTCCCTGAACTCTGTTTAGCATATGCTTTCAACAGTCGTGGCGCTGCAGGCTAAACCACAGAAGCCTCTGTGCTGCATGGTCAGAAGACCAGCAGTCGTAAGATTGAATCCACGCAACGGAATGAGCTCCTCTTGCTTTGGCCCAGCTCCTCACCAACCTAGCAGTTCGAAAGCATCCAAATGTGAGTAGATAAATAGGCACCACCTTGGTGGGAAGGTAAAACGGCGTTCCCTAGTCACGCTGGCCACGTGGCAATGGAAACTGTCTTCGGACAAGCGCTGACTCTACGGTTGAAAAGTTGGACACGACTGGACTAAGAATGTCAAGGGGAACCTTTACCTTTCAATGGGGAAAAGTGGATTGCAAGGCATACATTAAACTAGATAAAAGTTCTTAGTCTTTAAACTATCACAATACCCTTTTTTAGGGCTCCACAGGAGTCCCACAATTTGGTTTAGTGGCCAGTTTGTGGCTGCAGAATGGATCCTAAATTGGTCTGGACTGATCTGCGACCTATCTGATTCAGTCTATGCCCTGGATACTAGTTGACTTCTAAGCCTCCTGTTGATTTGTTTTCAAAAACAAAAATGGCTATAACTTTTTTTTTTTTGGCTTTTGCATGGGTGAACATGAAGTTTGGGGCTTGGAGACATGATGAAAGGGAGAAAAACTGCCAAATTTCAGAGAGCTCATTTCAGGAGTCTGCATAAGAGGAATCCTTAGAGCTTGCTCCAAGAAAAAAAAAAAGGCTGAAAGCAATTTCTGCCTCGTCCAATTCAATTTTTGTTGTGGACACAAACAGATTTGTAAATTTGCTTTCTATTGCTTTGCTTTGCTTTGCTTTGTCTTGGAATCAAATCTGGCGATTTTGCTTCCATCCAGACCTCATACAAATCATTCTGAATTGGTTAGCCATTCAGGTTTGGGCTAAATCTGCTCCAAAGCCCTACTCTTGATTGGATTTTCAAAAGTTTGGTGGTGGTACTCTCCAAAATTATGACTTCATACACTGTATAGTGTTTCCAAGCACACCTAGTTAATTCTGTCTAAGGGAGGAATGGCATGCTATTTTTGGCAGGTATAATGCAAATGTCTGTCCTGACCAGAAGCTGATTTACAGTAGTTTATGTCAGAGAGGTGGACAGTTACTCTCTCCAAATCAATCACTGCTGTGTTGAATACGGCTAACAGGAGTTGCCAACTGTCACAGAAATTAATTAAATAAAAACAAGTGCACTTCTAACAGCATTACGGTATTCAGATGTCTCTCAAGCTGCAGTTACACTGGCAATAGTAATCATTTAAATTGATTCAGATGTTATTGTTCACACAATGCAAGGGTGAAATCGATTTATACGTGCTGCAAAGCAAGTTTTTTTCAAACTCACTGGCAGGAGCTTTTTTAAATACTTTGTAAAATTGATTCATTTTAATGCGGTTTTATGGAAATGAGTCAATTTCAGCAGTGTTGATGCCAAAACGGGTTTAAATAACCAGAAATAAATAAATTTCCATTCAGTGCCACTAGTTTAAATACCACATGATTTGAACCTGATTTTTTAAAAGTCTGAATAAAAATATAATAAAATTGCACATGTGACCACAACCTTACTTACTTTCTCTCTCTCTCTCTCTCCCAACACAATTTTTTAACAGCTGATCGGCGGTTTCAAAATGGCCACTGGGTAAACAAAATGGCTACCTGCTGTTTTCTGGGACGGATTCCTCGCTGCACAGGCAGCAAAAATGGCCACGGTATGGAGGATCTTCGCTGGACGGTGAGTTTCCAGCCCATAGGAACGCATTAACTGGGTTTTAATGCATTTCTATGGGCTTTTAAAAATCATTTTACGACGTTTTCGTTCTACAGTGATTTTGCTGGAATGAATTAACGTCGTAATGCGAGGCACCACTTGTATGTTTGTTCTGTGCTTTCAAGTTGCAACTGACTTACAGTGACCCTAGCAGGGCTTTCAAAGAAAATGAGATATTTAAAGAGTGTTTTTTATCAATTCTACTCCCCCAGTGAGCTTCCATGGCTAAGCAGAGATTTGAACCCAGGCCTCTTGAGTCTCAGTCCATCACTCTATTCACTACACCACACTGGGTATCCCAGTATATAAATACATGCATAATGTGTAACATGTATTAAAATATTTTAAATGTATTTATGTTCTGTGACAGCTCCAAGAATATTTTTGGGGGCCACAGGTGCTTATCCCTGGTCTACCTCAAATAGCTTGAAGCTCTCTCTTCCTGTGCCATTTTGCTCAGGCAGCGATACCTTTAGAGAAGAATTTTCTTGATGTACCGTCCTTGAGACAGGTGCACCAAATATCTAGAAATCCCTTCTTCAGCGTGATAAGACTACTGCCAACTCTGAATTCTAATTAAAATATTCCTGTTCGCCAGATATTTTGAGGTTTTCTATGTTTAAAACCAATTCAATTTAAAATCTAAATGGATATTACATCATTTGTGGGTCTAGTTTTATGACTGTATCAAATGATGAAAAACTATATTTTCGCAGTTATATTAGTCTTACAATTTTCGCACAATGCAGTGGGATTGCTTCTGGTCATGAAAAAGTGATAGAGAACATTTAGAAATAAAATATATAAAAATAACAAGGAATGAATCACTTTAGATCCCATTGTGCCACTTGCTTTTCAAGCAAGGCAACGTTCCAGTGCATCTTATCACATAAAGCAGTACAACAAAGATATCAGCAACATCACAGTCAAGTAAAACAGTGTAAAATAAAACCAGCCGCAAAAAAGCATAATTTCAAAAAATCCTTTAGCAGTAAATACCACTGAGAACCTATTGTCAGGGACAATGTTGTTGTTGTTTAGTCGCTAAATTGTGTCTGACTCTTCATGACCCCATGGATCAGAGCACGCCCGGCCCTCCTGTCTTCCACTGCCTCCAGGAGTTTGGTCAAATTCATGTTGGTAGCTTCAATGAAACTGTCCAACCATCTCATCTTCTGTCGTCCCCTTCTCCTCTTGCCCTCACACTTTCCCAACATCAGGGTCTTTTCCAGGGAGTCTTCTCATGAGATGGCCAAAGTATTGGAGCCTCAGCTTCAGGATCTGTCCTTCCAGTGAGCACTCAGGGTTGATTTCCTTCAGAATGGATAGGTTTAATCTCCTTGCAGTCCAAGTGACTCTCAAGAGCCTCCTCCAGCACCACAATTTAAAAGCATCAATTCTTCAGCAGTCAGCCTTCTTTATGTTCCAGCTCTCACTTCCATACATTGTTACTGGTAAAAACCATAGGTTTGACTATGCGGACCTTTGTTGGCAAGGTGATGTCTCTGCTTTTAAAGGTGCTGTCTAGGTTTGTCGTCGCTTTCCTCCCAAGAAGCAGGTGTCTTTTAATTTCATGGCTGCTGTCACCATCTGCAGTGATCATGGAGCCCAAGAAGGTAAAATCTGTCACTGCCTCCATACTTTCCCCTTCTATTTGTCAGGAGGCGATGGGACCAGTGGCCATGATCTTAGTTTTTTTTGATGTTGAGCTTCAGACCATATTTTGTGCTCTCCTCTTTCACCCTCATTAAGAGGTTCCTTAA